GTCTGCGCTTTCTTCGCTTCCCGTTTTTTGCGACGAAAGTCGGGGAAAGTCGCTGCGGGGAGAAGAAACAGCAAGACTGGTCGACTTACGTAAGCCTAGTCTTGGGGCCTCGTTTCAAGCGCGCTTGGCTATATGGCAACGAAGCGGCCAAAAGAGGCGTGTGGACAGGCCGGATGAGAAGGCCTGCAGTGTGTCTAAGCCCGTAAGTATATCGAAGAGGTCCTGTGAGTCATCGGGATCAATTTCACGAGTCGTTGGTAGTTGGTAAACGACTGGAAGAGAGAAAATGCTAAGTACCAAGTTGATGTGATACTAGTTGACAGGACAGGGCTTTCAAGTTCTACAGAAATATATCCAGTCTAACTAGATCCTGGAGGTCGTAGATGAGTCTCGCTGAAATCTGGAATTAGCGTTTCGAAGCATTGGGCTAATTGTCGAGGTAATGTGGCTGTCATCGGAAGATTAAAATCGGGGTGATTTGAACTGTATGATTTTGAGAACGGGAGCTATATCAAATTAACTAGAAAAGCGGTTAGTTATGAATTTCCGTATATACCGTATAGAATGCGTGCGTGGATACTGATCATCATTATCAGACATACCTAGTCTACTTAGATGACAGGGAGCCGACATGACCTCGACCCGCTGAGTGGGCAGCAAGGGACTGACCAGCATCACAAAGGCGGAATGTCATAGTCGGCAATTTTCAGAGAAGGCTCCTCTATCCTTCTGTCTCGTGTTTCATGGCTTGCAGTCATTCGAATGGTTTGGGTACGTACGAGTAACCGTGACAGGACCAAGTTCCAATGCGACAGTTGATCAATATCCATATGCGATCAATATCCATGTCACTTCATTATTCACCCATGAACGCACTCAGACTGCTTTTCGAATGACACCTAAGATCTGTCGTTATTGCCCTCCGGGCTGCGGCTTCTTTCACGGCTTCGACTTCGTCCTCTATTCCCACCACGCCCACGGCTGGAGTTCTGGCCGCCACCAGACTTCCCCTTGGAAGACGGAGGAGGCCGTACGAATGCAAAGTCGACTTCAATTGTTTGATCAAGCAATTTTGCGCCATGCAGGGCTTTGATAGCTGCCTCTGCCTCGGGGAGGGTGGGATATTCAATTAACGCGTAGCCCTGCCGGAAGTAAAACAACTTAGCTCACTGATCTCAGGACAGAATGCAAAGACGGAGAAAGGTATTAATTCAGAGTGTATAATACCTTCACGTAACCCGTTCTTCGATCAAGATTTAGGTTGAAATTCTTAATATCCCCGTACTCAGCGAATAGATCTGTAACATCCTCTTCTGAGGCCTCCTCATGTATATTCGTCGCAATAATGATCCACCCTTCAATGCTGCGCACTGCTGCAGCTGAGGCGCGAGTACGTGGCTCTGGCCCAGATCCGGTCTGCTGTGGCTCTGGGGAGAGCGGAGGGTCGACTTCCATTTCGCCGGACATGTCGATTTCTGTGTTTCTCTCTCTTATACCGGCTTAGTCGCAAAAAATGCCAGTCAATGATGAAACTATTCGCCTGTCACAACTTTTCGTCGCCTTGCCTATGGCCTCTGGTCCTTCGTGAGGTGTTGAGGGGCGAAGAAAAGTGAAGCTTTAGGCCTTGGATTTTAACCACAGGCGGGATCAGCTTATGTAAGCAAGTTTCTTTTGACCTCGTTGCTAAAAGTGGCACGTATTATGTTTATTATTATATTAGGGGGATCGAAAGACATCCATGATCATAACTATGTACATAAATACTAATGATATATAACAACAGGGCTATTAGCATATATTGAACAGGGATGCAAAACGTGGGACCCCTCGCGTTCGACATCCTTAACCAAGCCACGATAATATCCGCAAATGCGGTGTGTGTGTATATATACCCAAAACTACCAAGTCACACCGCAAGTATATTTTGTGGCCGCCGATACATGGTTAGCTGGAGGCTTTGATAAGGAATGTTGCAGCGTCGTCTGCAAGCACGGCATAGCTCTCGTGTGCCGCCCAGCTAAAGCCATTTAGACAAACAGGGTCCCCTTCGTTGCAGTATTCCTTCGTCTTCTCCGGTGGGATATTGGCGAAGGGGATTAAACGGCCTGGGTCTCCGAAGACTGCAATTGCTGATATCTCTTCATGCGTCAAAAGCTTTGCAGCGTGAGTGACCATTGCGCCCTGCGAATATCCTACGAGAAGAATCTTGCTGTCGGGGCACTGCGCAACTGACTGCTTCACGAGGTCGGCCATTATTGGGCCTCCGTTGAGACCTAAGAGCAAATTTCCCTGTAGGAGAACTAATTAGCAAAAGGGCACCATGGACCTACATACCATCCACATTTTAAGGGCATGGAGATGGCATTCCGCTACTCCTTGTAAAATAAGGGGAAGAGCATACCGCGATACTGGCATCGTAATTGACTCCTTGAATTATGATCTTGTTGCCTGTCTGGGCTCGGAGTGCAGCGGCAAGTGGCCTACCAACTCCTTTACCCATGTTTCCATCCTCGTTGGTTCCGCGGGCAAAGATCATGGTCAGCGGCTGGCATGGCGCATGGTCCAGGATTCCATTTTCCACCAGTCCGTCGTTGTCGGTCGGTGTACTTGGAGGGGCTGTCTTTCCATGACTTTTTAAGCCTTCCTCCAGTTTGTTCAAACCATCGAATACCGGTATTGAAGCCTCCTCTGCGGTCATTCCGCTACCATGTTCCAACCATTGCGGCAATTTGTTACCTGGAAGGACTGACATGGACGCTGCGATACGAGCGTCCCTGGGGTTCAGGGGTGCAGCTATGGCGCACGCCACAAGGCCTAGCAAGAAACATGACTCAAGCTTCATCTTGACTCTAAAATATGTATAGGAAGATAGATTCAGATGGTTGAAATGCCCTCGTGTGTTGGACAGACAGGAGTCAATAAGGAAGTGAAATAGATCTTTCAATTGAGGATATCGCGGTAAGGTCTACTGACACAAGAGAAACCGACGAAGGGGTAAGGGAGGTTCACTGTCTGCCAGACCAAGGGGCAATGGGCAGAATAAATACATCACCATTTTTCAGATGATTGTCTTCCGCAGGAAACCCGACGACAAACCCAGTGCCAACGTGGCCAGGGCATGTGAAATGAAACTTTACTTTAGGATCCATTCTGCCTACACGAAAAAGAGGCACTGTGAGAATGGGGGGTCAGCTAGGAGATGCGTTCCTGTGGGTTGATCCAGGGCTAGGGGGAACAGGTCCCCATCAAGGTTGTAATGGGAAGCTGGTAACCAATAAGGCGCCAACATACAATTTCAAGTCATGTAACAGAAGAACAGCACTTGGTGCTCCCGCCAGAGCTCAATCCCGGCTTATTGCGTTCAACAAGCTGGCGGCCCGGATCGATAATCCAGATTTCTGGTTCAATCTGATCGATGCATCTCATATGGACGAGATGGAAGGCTCTTGTCTCTGAATGGCTCACATGCTATGTAAGACCACCCAAAAAAAAAGTATCAAGCTAGTTGGACGAACCAAGAGCTGATCACAGACTGATATCACCAATCACCAGTATCCTAGGTTGTGTGCATTAGTGTGGGCTCGTTAACAAGGAACAAGGGTGAGTTGTCTGGACTTGCAGGCCGACGATCATCGTAGCCTCGCTTTGATGGAGAAGCTGAATCGACAAGAGGAACTGGTTTTACATAGTAGTAGTCGTAGCGATGCCTGAAACACCGGCGGGAACGGAATTTTGTTATTTCGCCGTTGAAGTCTCCGCTGCCATGAGGCGAACTGGAGGATCATTCTTAGATTTGCACCTCGATGGGTCCCTGGTGCTGTTGGGGAGAGTTGCTCCATCGGTGGCTCGAGGGGAGCTTTGCGGGTAACTAACTCTAGCTGACTCGCAATAATGGAGGAGTGTTATCAGATGACGTCGGATGGCTGTCTTGTGGCTGACGGCCGGCATCCTCAGCCGGGGCGAGCAACTTGGGCCAACACCCTGACCACCTTTTTCAAAAGAAAAGAAGAGATGTGCATCCTGGACACCCAGGCCGGTGATCAACCGCTTCGTCAGAGGCATTGTTTGGAGAGCGAGCATGCATGCAGACACCAAAGACACCAACCAGGTCACGGTTACGAGACGGCGACTCGACACAGCATGCTGCAGGTCTCTCGAGAATACGCGGAAAAAAGTCGACCTCGGAACTGGTGAAGGATCGACTGCCTAAACCAGCTAGTTATGGCCGGTCAAATGATACTTAAACCATCCTTGGGCCCCAGCATGATAAAAATAGACGATGGATGGCATCGTGGAGTACGTTCCTGGTGCGGTCATGTTCGCCGCCGGGGGACCCGACTCCAGCTGCTGACAGTTCTCAACCTAGGATACGAAGGAGACGGGGTCGCTGGAGAAAGATCGAGCATCCATAACTAACCCACCGACTAGTGAGTTGAAGACTGGGTGCAAGCGAGAGTGGACTTATCCTGCAACATCTTCCGCTTCTCCGACGGGCTTTCTTAGGGGTTGAGTCTGTAGAATGCAGCAGCCCGTGTCAAATTCCATCCATCTCTTCAAATTCCTCAGGGTGCGTGTATGTCTCCTGAGCAGAGATATAAACCAAGGGTGTTTGATATCTCCTTACCCTTTAAAAGAAAAACATCGGAGTACAGAGTACTATCGTATGCATTGTATTCATTCTCCCAGCGGAGTTGGTCGTTTTAAGAGGTCTATGAATTTGATACCATATCTTATATTGCTTCAGTCTTCCCATTATTGAGCTGAGAAGAGTGAATAGACAGAATGAGGAGTGCCTGTCTCGGCATCAATCCAAAATGTGCTTTCCTTCTGTCCAAATCTTTGTTGATATTGACAGTGGAAGATCCAAGGAACACCACCCTGTCAACTTCTACAGACAATATCATAACAGATAGATACTATCTTGTTTGTCTCCTAGCCTTCAACAGGCGTCTTTTCTTTCTTCTATCTGGCTTATAGGCGGATAGCCAGCAGCTATGAGCATGCTTGAGCAGTGGCTTCAGCATGAATATGCACCCCCTACTGTGGACAACAAAGTCTTCAAGCTACCTCTGGTCCCGGAGCCAGCAAGGCCAAAGAAGATCCCTTTCCGTGACAGACAGGATATCGAGGTCATCCTTCGTGGAGAAAAGTCAGACCACTACGCCCGCCTTTGCAAAGAAAACGCGGACCTCGAAGTCTCATTCAACCCAACCGGCGGTGATTTCACCATTACTGAGCGCGTCCAGGATCCGGAAGAGCCATGCCACTATCTAGAAGTGACCGTTCACCTTAACCGCAAGAACTCGGAGCTGCTAGATATCAGAAGGTTCTCTCAATCTACGCTGCTGATTGCATTTGCCGTTGCCGATGGGAAGTATCCCTGGATGGAATATCGCCAATCTGGATTCCAAAGTGCACGCCTACCTAGCCTTCTTAGCCAAGCTGTCAAAGCAAGGTGGCCCCTCAGCTATATCAAAGTCCTCCTTCCACTCGCAAAGCACCCTCGTAGCTGGACTGCCGTTCTCGCGCTGATGACCTTTAAGGGTGTTGATGATAAAGACTTAAAAGAGGTAAAGGAACTATACAAAGCAGTGGAAAGGTGTCAGAGCGAGTTATCTGATATCAGCCAGCGCCCGGGGCGCGCTAGTTCACTCGAGGAGTTGATTAATGAGGAGGAAGCAATGCGCAAACATATCAAATTGAAGGATCCAAAGAGCCGGACTGCATTGATCAAGTATTATGAACAGTTGGTCGACGACATTGCCGTTGCTCAGAAACGAACCATGTGGCTGAAAGAGTCAGACAGGCTCGCCAAAGAGCAGGAGATTATTTACCGGAAGGTCGACGAACTTGATAATTAGATGTGGCTAAGAAGTACTTGTTCTTGCAGGGTTTTGGTCAAGTTGCTTAATCTTTCATCCATTCGGCGGCCCCCTTGACCTTTTTCAATAACGGAGTTTGAGCAACTAAAACACGGACGAATTTGATGGTTCCCCTTCGCTTGTAACTTAACAATGCCATGCCCATTCAATTCAAATTTCTTTGTTCTCATAGTATACATAGCAGTACTGGTTGTTTTATTCCTGGAGAGGCTTTAGAAATGTCCAATAAATCACTAAGTATTCACAGAACTTTGTTATCCGAGTGGAGTTGTTGATCGTGCTATTCTAATTTGTTGAGGAGTGAGATATTGTCATACATCACTACCGCCTAGGAAAGGGGGAGAGAGTACCGGGGGTCAAGGCAAGGGGGAAAGACGAAGTGGGATATAGAAGTTTGTAGAATACCAAATAAGCAGAATCAAAGACAAAGGCGATCTTGGGGCATATTATGCTATTATTTATACAGCAGACTCTTTGTGTCCACAGAAGCTATTTTTTCAAGCTTCATTTTCTTTCGTTTCAATTTTTTTTTTCCTTTCTTAAAAATTCTCAAACAATAGGGAGAGGGTCTATCGCTTGTTGTTACCGCCTCTCATGGCCAGGATCTGGACCATGCGGACAAATATGTTGATGAAGTCGAGTTCAAGGCTGACACTCTCGTTAACGACGTCTCTCCGAACAACTCCTCGCTCAGCCAAACGAGCGTGGTAAAGAATTTTCTGGATATCGTAGAGGGTGAATCCACCAAAGACAGCAAGGCCTCCGTATAGCCAAACTCGCTCAGACCACATGAGAGTTCTTGTTGCAGTAGCTGGTAGAACCAGGGGAGCAAATCCGGAGAGAGCGACAATGGCAACACCAGCAAGGAGTGGACCACCGAGGTAGAGGTATTTCTCCTGTTTGGCAGTAGCACCGACAAAGGCAATCGAGCCCATCATACCGACTGTGTAAAGACCAGCACGTCCAAGGATAGCTGGGGACATGAAGAATAGAGGAGCGAGAACGGCAGCTTGGGCAAGGTTAAATCCAGTCCAGAGTGCATACTTTTGAATGTAGCTATGGAAAATGTTAGTAGTGCTAAATATACGATATGGAGTACGGAAAGTTGTTCCACTTACTTATCCGGTGACGTGTAAAAAGTCCCATACATAGTTCCAATACTGGCTACCAAACTAGCACCAACAACAACCCATGGGTTGGTTGCCATAAGCCGATATGACCATCCGCTGGTGTGAAGAGCACGGGCAGCAACACCAATAATTCCAATGCCCAGGCCGGTGTGCATGAAGGTCTCGTTCAAGAAACTTCGCTCATAGGGGCGCATACCGCCATCTTCTCTTGTTTCCCGGTTGAAAATGAAGTTTGTTGCCACAATGGTTCCTCCAACAATCGCGGCACCGTATATCAATTTCTGGGTCATATTGCTGGTGTCTCCGGCCGCAGGCTGATATGCCTTCTGCATGTAGGTCCGTCGGAAAGCATCCTTGAATGACTGGCGAGCTTTACTGAGCACTGAGGAGGAAGGGATTTGAGACGATGCACGGCTAGCTGATGATGATGGTTTGATAGGGCCGTTGTGGATGAACCGGATAGTCGTTGATACTGTCGATGGCTTGGGCGCCTGTTTAAGCACAGCCGATACGGCAAACGGGCGGCGAAGGATGAACGCCATGATAGATGTGAGTGGTGAGTGTTATTCGAATGTCAAAGTAATGCAAGATGATGGTAATAGGCCTTGCGACGGGCGTTTATATACCGCAAGAGAGTTCTTCTGTATCCTTCTTCCGTCCGTCGAATGAAGATTCGAGAAAAGGGCCAGCTCCGTTGACTTAGTCATCAATCATGTGATGCTTATGATGACCTCATCATATCGTTCGGCTTTCGGAGTTTAGAAGAGAAAAAAGCGAAGACAACGAGGGAAAACGGACTTTGGAAGACTATCTTCGCGACGCATAGTTGACCCAGCGGATTAGACTTGGCTGTAGTCTTTCCGCGCCTTTGGTCTTTTTTTGTGACAATGTCGCTTCTTAAGAGTCTCCAAATTGCGCATCTTCCGCCATCATTAGTAGTCCATATCGCCCTCTATCGTGACGTGAAGAACTCGTCGTTTTTAAGAGAGCAACTTATTTCTGCCAACTCAGCCTATGAGTACGCTTTTATTGATGCTAGTATGGTATGGTGTTAAAACTTCCTGTGGTTTGAGTGCCCGCGCCCACATACTGTGACTCAAATCGATGTTGACTCTTTCCATCCTTACACCAAAGTAGATCCTTTCGACCACCCACGTCCTTTCGGCCGTGTTTAGGGCGGTAAATGATTACGAAAATAAGCGGTTGAAGTCGAGAAATGTACATTCGGAGATAGTGTTCGCTCTGAGCCCGAATAATAATGTTAGTGTTGCCAGCTGTTTGATGTCACAAGACCAAAAGTGAGAAGTACGCCGAATTAACCGACCTCGTTTGAACATAGATAGCCGATGCCTTTCGTCGATTCGGAATAGCAGATTCAACTACTGATCTCCTTGTTGTGAAAGTTAGCACGAGCCCGGAGATTACACATGAGACCGTATCAAAGCATCTAGGAGAGGCTGTCGAAGGCACCCAAGTGACATTCGATGATACTACTCTCAGTCAGATTACAGATATATCGAAGATTCAAAAGGTGTATAAATTGTCAAACTTGGCGGGTCATAACGCTTCTAAGAAACAAATGGATCCCGCTCAAGGCCACAGTGTAAAAGGGGTTGAGGAGTCTTTCAGGAGACGCATCGAGACCTCTGTACTCGGAGCTATTGCTTTAAGAGGCTCTTGAACCGTTTCTTTTTCACGAAATAGGAAACCTGCCCTTTCGACCGTTGCCCCTATAGTTAAGGGAATTAGATAAAAATGCTTAGGCTAGCACTTGAAGACAATACTAGCGATGGTGTATTTATATCTGCAGGAGGACAAATGCCTAGGTACAAAATAACGGGGATAAAGAAATCTTTTGCTCTCGAAATGTAAACCTTTATCCGGTACGTAACAACAGAATATATCAGATATTTTATTATAGGTCTTCATGAAGTCTTCAAAGGTATGGATGTCGTCGAGATAGACTTCAGCCTCCCGTTGCCCCGACTACGGAAGCGTGTCAACGCCAAGGCCTCAAGCAGCAAAACGCCGAGTCCAGGCATCAAAATCAACTCGAGACAGCGAATACTGGCTATCATAGCAAGGAAAGCTCTTGAAAAGCTCTTTATACTGTACACATGCCTCCAGATGATTGGTAGAACTTTTGACGCAATCAATGTTGTCCTGCCGTCGCAGGTTAAACCAGCGAGCGCGACCAGCCTCTCCAATCGAGACACTGCTTGAGTTCTCCTCGAAATCAACACCTACCCTCACTTGTGGTCCAAAATCTGACCCCGAAAGTCACGGTAATGTCAGTACCCAACTACAGTCAAACGGAAGTGCCCGATATACCAGGATTATTTTGGGAGGGAGAGCAAATGCAGAGAACCTACCGGTGCCTAAAACGAAGAGGCGAAAACTGGGAGACGAAAGTGACAAATTAGTTGAAGGTATGGAAGAATTGGCAGGCTGCTCTCGGCCTTGTCCTCCGTCGATGGAAAATGGATCTACCGCGCAGAAAACGAGATCGAAAAAACCTAGAAAACAGACTCTAAAAGGCCATGGTTTAGAGGAAACGACCCATCCAAGGCTGAAAGGGAAGGTTATAAAGCCATCCACTACCTCCAGAATATTGACAAGTAAGAAAGGCATTATGCATCCTGCTGATCTACAGCAGACGGAGGCTGGAAGTTCTGGTTGGGAATCATGTGGATTACGCCTTGAGGAAGCTACTATAAGAAGAGACTTTTGGACACCCATAAAGGACACAACTCCCGCCCATATTGACCTTACGGGATCTCCCGTCTTCATGGAAACAGGGGAAGCTCAGGATAAAGGCAAAGACTTCAGGTCATTGATGTCCGGATTCAGTTTCTCAAGAGAAACCTCTCATGAAGTTGTCTCTGACGGTCAGTATCCTGCTGAAGGGCCAACAACAAAACAGCTCTTAGAGGTACGATAGTTCTACTAATAAGAATTGTGTGTTCTATTATTAACTACGAATTTAGTTCATACCACAAAGTTTGCCTTCAGGCAAACATTTGGGAGCTGAGGCTCTCGACACAACTGCGTCTAGTACCTCTGAAGGAAATAGCCACTTTAAACCAGCTGGAAAACCCAAACGACCCGCCAAATCAAAGATCACTACGATCACTTCGCTAACTACAGGGCGGTACGAGTCACCATTTACATCAGAAGCCGGTAACTATATTTCAGCCGGTAATGACGTAGAGTCCATCCAACCCGCCAGAAAACCTACTTCGAAGCGTAAGGCTACAAAAGCAAAATCTGGAACAAAGATTTCGAAAGACGAATACCAAGCTCAATTTAGGCCTGCTCCTACAATGGAAGCCCTACAGACTATTGAAAACCAAACGTTGCTATTCGGAACTTCCAGTCAGCTAGAGAGAGATTCCAGTCCTAGTGTCTATGGGATAGAGTCTGGCCTAGAACACAGTCAAGGTCAGAGTGAATCAGCAAGGGTAAGGTCTAGAGAGCCCTCCTCCGCCCTTGGGGTTTCGAGGTTTTCCAAATCTAAGAGCTTATGGGCGGCAAGTTCTCGTGACCTAGATGGTTATCTATTGAACGTTGAAATGGTTGATTTGCTTGAACCAGCAGCTCCAGCATATCAACCTCAGGACGAGCAACAGACTACCAACAAGCTTTCCAAGGTTAGGGCACATACAGAAATTCCACCGCCGATTGAACATGAAAGCTCTGAGAAGTCTGAACCATCCATTCACTCTGTTGTTAATATTGACACTTCCGATACTATCCAGAGTCTCCATGAAATTTCAAGCACCCATAACAATGAAAATGGGGTTGCAAGCATACCGGATTTTAACAGACTTTCAACCGACGCCCTCACAGCCAAAGTGGCGTCTTTTGGATTTAAGCCGATTAAAAGCCGTGAGAAAATGATAGTGCTTTTGGAGAAATGTTGGGAAAATAAAAGGAAAGCTGCTGGTAGACCAGAAATTGGACCATCTGAACGAGATGAACCACAAGGAACTTCTCAAGGGCGGTCCTTGAACATTACTACAAATCCGATAGAAGCTGGCCCTATACCTAGCGTTATCCCCTCAATACGGACCACCCCCGAGGAAATAGCCGACTCTTCACGAACAATTGAGACCATATCTCACAACCTGAAATTCCCTCCAAAGACTAAGGGAAACACACTTCATTCCAAGGGCACTGAACGCGATACTCAACCTAATACAATAGAAATAAACGATTCTACCGATGAAGGCTTACCAGAGTCATCTAAACAGCTGACCAGCTCAGGGAATTCCCACCTTCCTCCTCGCGTATCATCACGCGATAGGCCCAATGGCCTTGTGCCAGGGCCGGGAGAATTTTCAATTCGAACTAAAGGAGTTAGTACCAAGGAAAACGAACCGGCAGAACTCCCAAATATATTTATACAAATTACAAATGCTGTCAAAGCACAGCCTCGCATACGCAGCATCAAGGGTATCAAGCAACCCACATGGCATGAGAAAATTGTCATGTATGATCCTATCTGGCTTGATGATTTTACGTTATGGTTGAATGTGGAAGGCTTTAAACGCATACACGAAGATCGAGAAGTTCACGCATCACTGGTAAGGGAATGGTGTGAAAGCAAAGGCATCTGCTGCTCTTTCAAGAATAAGAGATGATAGTATATAATTATACTTCTCAGATTTTGCTTCAAAACTTTTGTTTAATGGGATTTTCCTAGAAATTAATTAGAATATCTATGGTTTTTATCTGGTATGGCGAACTAAGCTTAGCTCTTTGGACGATCGTTGGAGGTGTACGATTAATAACGAAAATGGCCAAACTTTACAATTAGATATAAACCCTTCAATAACATCGTACCAATGCAGCACCTATGCCTGGTGAAAAGGGAAGGGAACAGCAGGTTTTGGAAACTAAAGTTGGTCCTCATCCGCCGGGCACTTAGCTTACTACTCTGGATTATAGAACTCACATGCCAGAGAAGTAGTTATAATTATCTGGCGGATCCTGAGACGGGTCATGGTCTCTTTTTAGTGCTCCAGTCTGCTGATGTGACTCCCCTTGCCCTCGTACTTGACTCTGGCTATGTCCTTGACGCGCTCCCTGCTGCTGCTGCTGCTGCTGCTGTTGAATACCCTGTCGATAGGAGCTTTGACTACTTTGCTGAACCTGTGATGGCACAGGGTTGTCTCGTCCAGAGAAAGGGTTTGAAGCCATCGATGTATTATATGTAGGATACTGGGAAGGGGGAATTACTACCCCAAATTGTGAGGGGTCTTGCATTGAAGGTAACATTGCCGTTGGACCTGTTTTCAAAATGTCAGTCGCCTCTCTTTTCATCGTGTGAGGGGTCATTTAGGTCGTTTACATACGCCTGCCTGGTGGGTATAGTATTGGAAAGCTCTGTCCTGGCTGCTGCTGGGCCGTCTGGTGAATGGCTTGAGCCTGAGCCTGACTTTGTAGAGCGTCATACGAAGGATATGGATGTGGTGTTTCCTGAATATAAGCATTAATAAAATAGCGAAAAAAGTGGTGGTAAGAAGTGCAACAGAAAAGTAGCCACTCACCATCGACATTCCAGGCGCCTGAGCACCACCGCTTCCAAGGTGGCTGACCACATTACTGATATAGTCTCGTAAGTTGGCATTTTCTGTGCGTAATAATTCGTTTTCAGTAGCCAGCCTTCCGTTTTCAGCTCGTAGGCGTTCTAGCTCTCCACGAGTATACGACACCCGCGTTATTGGGTCAGTCTGGGTGCATGGTAAGTTGCCGGCAACACAGTTGGCACAGCCAGTCGAATTTGAATCGCACTTCATTTTTCGCCCCTGTAGCAAGTAATGTTTTAGTAAAGCTCCAGAATGGATACGTGTTGTGTAGTTGGATAAGCAAGCTGAGGAAATCTAAGGGGTTATGCTTCACGGGATTAGGGGGATTAAGTAGCTTGAAATATAATAAGGCGATTTGGAAAAAAAATGGATGTGGATGGGCTGTAAGAACGGAGTAGGTGTAATACGGGTTTAGAATGCCAATGGAGTGATATCGAAAGCAAGAGTGAATACAGCCATATGGTATAAGCGTGGTCTGCCAAATCCAAAAATTCAGAGCTGATTTTCCCTTTGATAGCTTTGTTTCTTTTTGAACAAAGTATACAATGGAACTGGGAAAACACATCACACAAAGCAATTTGGCATTCCTTGTGTATTCAAGGGCAAAAAAATATGGTTGGCCACTCAGAACAGGACCAGAAATGGCAGTACTGGCGATTGAGGCTGTTGAGAGAAAATTTGAAGGTTTGATAGGACCGGAATGTAAAGCAAACTCAGGTAAACTCACCTTGCAGCGATCGCAGGCCTGGCCGGTACGATTGGTAGAAGACATCTGACCCTGAACTAACTCAGAATAATTTGGTTCAGGGCTATTCTTGCCTCTTCTAGGCTTCTTTGGACGACGAGCAGGAGCTGTGGCTTCTGTTGTAGATACTTGTTCTACCGTTGTATTCTGTGTCGTATCTTCTCCGGGATCTTCAGTAGTCTCTGGATCTTGTTGCTGGGAGTTTCCTTGAGTATTGGCGCCCTCGTTTTGGGCTTGGTTATTAGCCCAGGTATCTTCCTGATTGTCATCATTGGAGGGCCGCTTCAGTGACGAAGACATGGCTACTTTATATAAGTAGATCGATGTATTGCGCCTGTAAGATGTTGCTAGAATGCTGTCGTAGCTTGATTCAACCCAAAGAATGAGTGTAAAGCAGCTTGCTATAGAGTATTTCTTGAATATTCTGTGATTTTGAATAATGGAAATAGCAGAATCAAAAGATCAAGATTGGTATCTAGTATAGTGTATGCCCTGATATATGTTCAATCTAGAGAGAAGAACAGAAATAAAAATGTGCAGAGACACAGTATATGTACTGAAGAGACTTTCTTCATCTCTTAAACTGTGTCTTTAGGCTATTGTGCAAGGATAAAAAGAGCGCTCTTCTTCGGCTCTTGCCATCTTGTACACAAATAGTGCATTCCATAGAGGGCTTAATGACGGAAATTTCCATGATACATAATGACAGTGTAAACCATGGGACCCAGAACCCTTTCATAAAAAGAGTCTTCGAAAAGCGGCTTTTTGTACCCGTTGACTTGAAGGTATCCCATTCAACCGGCCCATCCGCAGCTTGTTCGTTCGAGAACTGCTCGATAACAAGGCGACGATAGCAAAAATGTTCATTTAAGATATCCCCTGAGTTCAAAAATTGTTCTAAAAGGTAGAGCCCTTGATAAAAAAAGGGGGGGGGCTCGAGTTGCTTTGATTTCAACACAACTCGTAGCAATCAAAGCAAGAACTTGATCGATTCACCCCACATAATCAGTAGAATAAACGAGCATTTTGTTTCAACTGAGAGCTCCCTACAATGAATACATTGTCAAGAAGTTCTAGGAATTTCTCTTTTGCAGTTCTTGCAAGGGAGTGGACAAATCTTTGAAATGGAGGTATACCTGATCAAGGCTTTGTTTTCGCTTCGGGTTGTCTGCTCTAATATATTGATAAAGGAGGTAAGCATATAATGGGTAAATTTCAGGTAAGCTATATCTGAGGAGTGCCCCCAGGAAGCATAAGAGAAGAGATACATGGGTATTGTGGTATTGGGTGTTGAGGGGGTGATGACGATGTAGATGGGTCGAGTCGGGCGGCGCGGCTGCAGGAACGACAGGACACGACCGAGGCCCACGACAAACAGGCGAGCAATGACAAAGAAATGAACAACTTGGCTTGTCTGGGCTTTTCGAGCTTAGTCTCATGTTGGACTCCTCGTTTTTGCTGATATATTCTTTCATCATGTTCAGTGTTAGTTATTTGAGCCGTGTGGCCTTGGGGATCAGTGGGTCTACCTGTTTCTGAGAAAGTGGTAGTTACCCGTGCATAAAAATTAATGTTTTTGTGACAACCTCTTCAACAGCGGAATATTCAAAAACAGATACAAATAACCTGTTCGGGACTAATCACGCGGAGCTGGATATGAGAATGAGCTTATATAGTCATAGAACTTTGGGCTTGTTAGTTAGCCTTTGAGAAGCAAATCGGATAAAGTTGGACGTTGAGAAAAGCCACAAGAGCTTGCTTATGTAAGAGGGGGTGCCTCGGAATATAGGAAAATAGGTAGGAGGTTTGGAAGTATTGGAACGATTTTTAACCATTTCTAAGTAGGCTCGAAGGTTTCAATATACAATAGTCCTGTATTCTCGTTATGAAAGCAATATGGATATGGAGACTTTACTCGAGTAGATATCGTGACCTTTTCATTTTTCTAGACCTGCTATCTTCTCTTATAACCTGCTGTCCACTCCCTTATCCAATGCATCACTTTAAAAGTGGTATTATATATCACATCTGCACATCGGTTTCATCTATCTTAACGCCAGCCAAGCCCAGAAATAGCCTCGGTCTCCTTTGATGTTCGGGTAAGAGAATAGTAGGCGAGGTGAAATAAACAAAATATAGAATACGCGAGAAGGGAACTGAAGGAAAGAAAGAAAATAGTATGAATATGCACGTTAAGATGGATTTTGTCAAGATAGAGTATTTGATCATATCGTTTCAGGGTCGTTATATCATGTGTTAATGCGAAGTGTTAAGAGAGAGAGAGAGAGAGAGAAAGAGAGAGAGAGCAAAAAGGGCAATTCGAACGGGTGTAGATCGGTGTTTGTGCAATGGGTAAATAGTCATAATCCAAGAAGGCATGGTAACATGGTACTCAGTACAATTGGGGGTATTCAAGAGAAGCAGGGAGCAAAAAGGGGATAACTATGAATGGGCTATGTGATCCAAGAATGTTTTCTACTTCCCAACCAACAAAGGTATACAAAAGAACGGAGAGTGTGAGGCGAAATGGGGTGAAATCGTAAAGGTAGGTCACAAATGGAGTATACACCGTACAGCAGAGTACAGTATACAAGATAGATGGTGGCCAGAAGCAAGGGCATGCTGGCATGATGTCATCGGGACCTCTTGCCATTATGCGCCACGGTGATGAATTCAATTCTGTCCCGGTATCGGTGCTGGAAGCCATATTCCAGCCAGGGAGAAAGATTTTTGCACTGACTGACATCCAGTAGGCTGAGTATTGAGCATCCGTCAGCAACGGCCTCAACGCCGGTACCAGTTACGCGGACACAGCCACGCACAGAAAGTTCGCGGAGGTTAAGTAAATGGAGGCCAATGGAGCGTAAGGAGGGGTCAGAGACTGCGGAGCCACAGAAGGAAAGGTTCAGGTGCGTTAGCTGAGGGCAGCCAAGCGCCAGGACTTCTGTGGCAGTGTCCGAGAGAGCACAGCAGAAAGACTAGGACATTATTAGAGTATTACAAGCAGCGTGGGGAGTTTGCTATCTGCAGGTTCGGACTTACTAGGTCGAGTTCTTGAAGGCACTTTGCGCTATTGGTCAAGTAGACAATTGCGTTGTCAGTGAGGTAAGTACAGTCTGCAAGACAGAGCTTCCTCAGCCTGAGAAACTGCGCATTCCCCCAGTATTGGAATCCCTGGTCAGTGATGGTTGTACAACGTGTAAGGTCAACTTCTTCAAGCCGGTTTGCAGCGTGAGAGGCAATGTGATGCATTGAACGGTCCGTGACATGCTTGCAGTATGACAAGGTAATCTTCTTTAGGTACGGACAGCCATATACTGTTCCCGCAGCCGGTTGATTTGGCTGTTGTACTGCGCCCGCTTTTGGTGCGTATTTCGAATTCTGCAAAGCTCTCCCACCGTTGACGTGGTTCTGGTGCTGTTGCTGAGCTGGTACCACCCACCCAACGATCCTTGCCAATAGCGTGTCGCTCACCTTCCGGCAATTACTAAGGTCGATCTCCTGAAGGGACTTTGCATGGTTTGTCATATCCAGTATTGTTGGCGCTGTGACGTCCCAGACACTTTTCATTTTGAGCACACGCAAGTTGGCACCGCAAGTGTTAGCTAGAGCGGAAAACCCTTCATCAGTGACATGAAAACAGTTGTTAGCATCTATAACACGCGGTCTGTCCCCAACAAAGGGACAGATAATCCCGGTTATAATCTCATCGGTAATTTTGCGGTTGTACCGGCTTAGATCGAGGAAGTGCAAGAGACGAGGTGATTTGGTGACAATCTCACACCACTGGCGAGAAACCCCACGGAGACGTAATAGAACATGTAGCTCAAGATACTGGAAGATGGATACAAGAACATCATTGGACAGTACTCCACGATGACGGATACTGTTTCGATGTTTTGACGGCTTGGTTTGAAAAAAGGCTGAGTTTCTGAAGAGTGCCGACTGAGCATGTTTATTAGGTGAGGGTGTTCGTGAGCGGGAGTTCACGCTCGTTGCCTGGGATTGCGATTGCTGATCTGGAGCAGTATCTTCAGGTATAATAGGAGCAAGAGAGCCTCGCCGGGACCGGGATCGTACGTTATCTAACCCAACACTCAAAAATGGATCTGGGTCGGAAGGTTTCACAACAGATTCGTCTTCCATCCTATTGGGTTTGTGAAGAGATTCAAGTTCCGTTTCGGAGAAGGTAAGAAGAGGCATAGATTGTCTCCGAGCGGAGAAGAGTGCCTGGTTTCCTGGGGTAAAAAGTTGGTCCGCGCTGGGTGCATCTTCCATCACTACATCACCGTCACTAGCACCATCAAGCCTTGTTCGTGCCGTTCGTTCGACCTGATCTCTGATATCTGCAGGACATCGAGCCCAAAACTCAGAGAGAACTTCACCGCTCAGCATCAAGCATTCGACGGCAGATACCGAGCGGACTGTAGCAGTTCTTCTCGGTGCGAGTGATAGGCTAACGACTTCACCAAAGTATTGTCCTTGTTTTAGCCGTGCTTTTACCTGCACATTGCGAGAGTCCTCCGCATCAGCAACACGGCGGGGGCTGCCGGGGTCACATCGTTCGTTCAGGACCTCGACTTCACCGCGTACGATGAAGAAAACTTCCCTTCCCTGTGAGTTTTGTCGAATGATGTCGGTGAATGGTGGATAAGTCCGTGGTTGTGCATTTAATCCCAGGAAATGAAGGATATCAGCCGGTAGATTAGCAAAAAGGGGCAGTTCTCGGAGCAACATTCTCACGCTGACGAGCCCGTTGGCCAGAGCACTGGACGTGGGAACATCCTGACAGCTGGGGCTGGGCGATTTGCGCTTCTTAGTGAAGCTGTTGGCATCTCGATGGTCGTCATTATTAAAATCCAGGCCGTCCGCAATGGTATCTCGTACTCGCTTTGTCACACGTTTCTGCCCACCAGGAGCGGTCATTTCTACAACCGCAGGCGGTGACGGTGACTCTTTTTGTTTTTTACGCTCAAGGATCTGAAGACGCTCTTCTGCTTCATCCCTGATGGCTCGCTCCACCTCTGGGAATCTGGGAAGAATGTTTCTAAAGTCCTCCTTGGTCAGGATGAGGAGTAAGCAGCGGGTTCTTGCAATGATAGTAGCAGTACGAGGGCGGTCCATGAGAACACCGATCTCTCCAAAAAATGCGCCTGGCTTCAGCTCTGCATATGTACTCTCTCCATCTCGAGACGTGACGGCGACGGCTCCACGTACAAGCCAGTACATGGCCTTTGCATCATCTCCTTCCGTCAGAATGTAGTCGTTTGCCGAGTTTATCTGAGGCCGCAGGTGGAGGC